ATGTTATATGACCTGGGGTGTGCGATCAACTTACCTTCACGTGGTGCACCCTGGGCAATGTATACCGATACGGCAAAAAGTCTATTAACTGACAATTGACTTCTCACTTCAAACTACCATCACCCCACTGTATGTCATATTCCACCACTTTCACAGTACTCACCTCACCTTTTTTCTACCTTTGTGTTTGTCTCTTTTACATCTTTGAAACACTCTTCTGTTCCCCCCTCCCCTCCCGACTTTTTGTCACTTTGATGTTCCTTCCCATCTGTGAAGCCTGAAGTCAGCTAAAGGGCTAATAATAACCATCAAAATGCCTGGCATTTAATATAAAACAAAATGAAAATGTTATATGACCTGATCACTCCACGTGTTGTTCCTATATATATATTTTTGTCAGCTTTGTTTAAAATTAGTATCTTGGTAATCAAATTTGCCAATAAAATAAACTGTATCAAAATGCTTTCTAACCTCTGATTACAAAACAAATGAATGCCCTCTGGAACCTAAAGGTGAAATCCCGAGTTTAAAACGTTAGGATTTGGGGTAGTGAATCACGCGTCAAATAAGATTGAATAAGACATTAAATTTCTTTCGCTCAACATGAGCAGACGTTTTCCTAAAACTAGAAATTATGAAACTTTTTCTAAAAGAATTTATAATATTAAAAAAAAAGGTTTTTAACATTTTTTTGGCATCCAATCCAGTCTTCTTTGGAGTTGCCTCCCCCTTCAGTCAAAGTCAATTTTCCAACGCCTCTCGAATACAATTTTCCTATTTTTAATAGAAAAAGGGAGTGAAAGTAAAAAGTTCATGAAATTTAACTGTATTTCATTGACAGTGACCTTGATACAACTATTAAATTTTCTGATTCATGGTGGTTGGTAGTCTTTTGCCATAGAACTTATTTCCATATCTAGAAAATGCCTGAGAATTTTATACTATATTATTTATTAACTTTTCAGCGATTGATAATATCTTAAAAATTGATAATGAAAATTAATTCGAAAAACATTAGTTAAGGTTGGGAAGATGAAGAAGTTAATGAATATGAAGTTTGAGTGATCCAAATCGATTTGCTATTTCACATATTCGGTGGCATTTTATGCTCACCAAACTGCTCATTTTCATAAGATTTTGCAATTTGCACTCGTTTCATGTAAATCTAATAGCAACCAATCTCATTATGGCACCTCGTCTAAGTACTTGAATCGCCAGTTCGTCAATGACAATCCTACTTTCACATATTTACGAAGAATCGATGTCATCGTTCGTTCAAGCAGTTGATTCCTCGGATTCTAAGACATTTGCTGTAATCTTTGCAAGAAATCAAATTGATAAGTTATTATTCACAAATTAATGCCTCATACATCAGCACTTATACTGTGTCAGATCAAGATCTGAGTACCGATAGGCCACATTTTACCTAGCTTTTCAATTATTTAATGATGAATAAAATGTACTTATTAACTTATATCAAATGTGAAAAACAGTAAATACTATTAGGGTTCTAAATAAACATGATTTACTTTTATCTAATACAGAAAACGTATAAATTATACAGTAAATGTGTTAGCATTTTAATAAGCCAACCTTTAATGTACTTTTCGTCGCTTAAAGTTATAGATTTCTTATAATTTATTTGATACTTGATGTCTCCGGTTGTCAATCCGTATACCATAGTTAAATAAAATCATTTTGTGTTATTTCAATTTATTATAATTAAACATTTGTGGAGTCCACAAGACCAATCCAGGGGATTTCATGCGCGGTCGAACAATCTGACAGTTGTAAAGCGCTACTAGTCGTGTACCGAGTAAGTGCAATCGTGAGTGCAAAGACCTCTCCACCTACAAACAATCAATAGTCGCCGCAACGTGGCACAGATAAGCCCTAATTAGTCAATTCAATGTCTAAGCTTTTTTGGGGTGTTAGCGGCCGTAAGCTGTAATTAAATGTCGCTCGCTTCGTACGTTCTGTTTCCTCGAGACTGTTGAAGGGGTTTAGTTAATATCGCTTGCAAAGTGACATTCGGAGATTTTGCAGAAGGCTGTTGATCTTTCAGTTGCGCATTCTTTTTACACTTTTCAATTGTTATAAACCTATTCTTTTGACGCAATTGAAAATGACGGTTTGTTAGCTTTTTATATAAATTCAATGATCAATAAAATCACTCCTGAAATTTGATTAATTATCTTTTTCCCATATATAATTTCATATTTCGAATATTGTAATTGAGATTGGTCCAAACGAATGAATCTAACTATTTCTGGTTAGTCAGTTTTTTAGCAGCAAACCCAGTGCAAAATATTCTAAATCAACTCTTCTTATGATTTCTACCACTCTACAGATCATCATAACGTATGGATCGAAGTTGTATATCAAATTTCATCAAATCTGTATAATTCTTGACAGTAATGCGTGCTTATTTAAATGAACGGTAATAATTGCCCTGAAACTTTTTTTGTTTCATTGGTTAAATCGATCTGACCATTCGACGAATATTGCTGAACATTACCTCCTACATTTCGCCACAATTTTTGAAATTCGTCACAAGTTATGGTGCAAACAGGGGTCTAAACAGATTCAATTTTCACCGAACAAATGACTTTTCGGTGATTTCTCTTAACTAAAATAACTATTTCAAGAATTAAGGTGGTATCAAAATAACCACACAAATCAAAGGTAGCTAAAGCATTCTTTTAAAACAATTGCAAAAGCTTCATAAAAGTTGGAATCGAATTCAAGTTTTCTCCGACATAGGATAATTTAAATACAATCGGAATTCAATAGACTATAGAGGACCCTTCGTACATTCAGTGAGGGCCATTTAAAAATAAGAACAAAGATACAGGCTAGACAGGTCAAGATTGCCTGAGTATGCTCAAACGCCATTGGATAAGAGTTATCTTGTGCTAGCCAGTAAGCAATTGGTATTGGTCTTCATTCCTTATTAATTCTCAAAGTGGCGTTGTCACCTGAGCCGCAGCTATTTCTCTCTTTGTTCTGTCTGCACGAAATTATCTACAATCATGATGAAACAAAATGAGTACAAATGGGAAGAGTCGAATGTTTCCGAAATTGGCTCAAAGATCGATCGTGAAGTGAAGAGTAAGTAGATATTTCTATCTTCTATCTATTTAAAAAACCATGAATATGGCCTTAACTTATTTCTTTGTTTATTGGGTATGGAGTCTGAAATTTTCCCGATGTATGCTTATTCATATGCTTCTAGACTCTTCACTTAACGTTTGAGATTTGTTTGCATATTCTCCTCTTATTCACTTAAACAATCTGGTTTTCAAAATTGTTGGCAATTAAAGTTCTAAGGTCATGGCCAAGATTACATCGAGAACGAATAGTATGAAGATATCGTCCACTTATCTGCACCTTGATTGGATAAGATGATTTTAACCTACTAGGTACCAGCTTAGACTTTGGATTTTTCCCAAGTCAGTCTTGAAGGAACCTATAAATTCGATTGAATTCTTGATCTTGATCATTCAAGCTAAAATGCTTTCCGTTTTGCCTGTATCGTCGCTTTGGTTCTGTCTGTATTTTGTCTGCGTAACGTCTAACCCAATGTCCGATCTGGTTAAGCAAAAGGACTATGACTGGAAAGATTCAAATGTCGCTCTTCTTGGAACTGATAAAGATCGGGCTGTCAAGAGTAAGCAAAATAATTATTTCTGTTTAGTGAAGTAGCCCCTTTACTATATTACTAGTATTTATGATTCCGTTCGATACTCCGTCAGTGTATATTAACGAAACAAAAGATCTATTGTTACTAGTTTTCGGTTTCTTTTTTCTTAATTATGACTTCTAGACTTTGTTTGGCTTCCATCAATTCTAAGCTGCCCAATACATCTTTGTGGTTTTGCCTTTTTCTTCTAGGCATTTGCATTTTTTGATAGATACCTCTTAATTAATTTAAGTAGGTAGTTTCTCAAATATTTCAAACGAGCATTATCGATTTGCCGAGCTAAGAATTGTAATTATTTTAAATTTAAAATTTGCTCATCTTAACTGACGAATATTGGTCTCCCTTACCTGTTATCAATCTGAGCTTATTTTATTCACGGTGAAATGTATTCATTGTTAAAAATTAGAATTGATTTCATAAGTGCTTTTCCCAGTGTTCAATGTTCGGACGTATTAGAAACGGAAAGAAAGTTTAAGTGTATTCAGGACATAAATCATGAGAACATTGATTTTTATGTTTGTTTTTTTTAAATTTGCTACTTAGATATCGTAATTTTCAAAATATACCTGCTTTAATATGTATTTGCAATTGTCCAATGCGATTCTGATAGTGCTTACTTATTCATCACACTTAAAATAAAAAATTATTGCAGTTGTGTGAAAAATCCTCCTTGAAAATTAATTTTTATGAGTCATTCTCGGGTCTTGGCGCCCCCATATCTCTATTACCATAAACGGGAAAATAATTTAAAGAAATTTCATTGTTTCTGCTGCTTAATTAAGTGTTCTCTCCTATGTTTAATAAGCCTTATATTGGCATTTATAGAAGGTCCTGCGGCTTAACGCGGTTGAACAAACATTTACTTTAAAAGCATTTCGTGTTTTCTACCTCCTTAATTTGTTTAAGTGTAAGTTAATTTTTATGCTTTAAAGATGGGTTGGAATGCTTTAAATGCTTTTACTCGGTTACCACTGGCGTTTATGCGTATGCTCTAGTTTTTATATTTCCTATCGATAATCGGCTGAATTACGTTGTCTAACGCAATTAAAAACACAATAGTTTCTTTAGTGGTCAAAAGATACAGTTAGTACCTTCGATCAATACGTCTTCCCCACCAGACACCGTAAGGCGCTTGAAACAATCAACTGCATTTCTACGCTTATCTGGTAACGCAATCACACTGATTATTAATCCTTCCTGCTATTGGTCGTCCCGTTTAACGCGTTCGACCTTGTCCATTCATTGGTCCAAGTTAGGCACACTTCTATTTTTCCATTCGCACGTCCGAAGGCCAAGCGTTATTTTTTGGAGTGGAGGCGTTATTTAAGAAGCTGTAGTCTAGGTTAGGGTTTGTGGGCCTATTTCATTCGACTGTGGTCGCGCTTCGCATTTATTCTTAATTTAAGTTAGGATTTAAAATGGCTTCTCTGGTGAAGGGAAAAGATTATGATTGGAAGGATTCGAACGTGGCTCTGTTCGGTACCTCCAAAGATAGGCAGGTGAAAAGTAAGCTGTGAACGATTTTTATCATCCTTTTCCAATGAATTTCTTACCTTTTTTCTGTTATTTTAGAGGAATCTGCCCTGACGGAACCAGCCTGGGAGCCAGTAGGCAAGGCAACATCTCCTTTCCTTATGGTCTGGCGAGTTAATGTGAGTTTTAATGGAGGTTGATCGATTTTTTGCTAGTGCACATAACGGTTTCTACAACGACTGAGTGGATATGGTATCACGGTTGTTCACTTGTACGTACTAGACACCTAGATTACAGACAGCCCAGTTTACAGACACGTGATTCACCATTTTAGTGCATAGTCAGAATTCAGATATACAATGGGCAATGTGTTACAGTGTAGAATGTATGTTTTTACAAGAAGCATATTCAGTATTCTGAAATTGGAATACTCTCCGAATGGTTATTTGTATAAAGTCAGATTCGTTGAAATCTTCCCTATCCCCTGGGAAATAGCGTTATAGGTTTGCCTCTTCTACTTACTATCCAACATCTGCTTTCATAGATCCACAGGTGTCTGCTTTTATATATTACTATTTTATCGACTGTTTGTTCATTTAACTCTATCAATTTCTAGCTTCTCTTTTACAAAGGATTTTGTTCTAGTTTTTCGGTTACGTTTTTCGGCATAGTTAACAAGCAGATTGTCGTATTGGCAGGTTTGAAATATTAGGTAGTGCTGTGTTGCATCTCATTAGCATTTATTCAAATGCCAGACCTCACTGTTTTTTGTGGACTAAATGAGCAACAGAGTTATAAGTAAATTTGTCCCCCTTTCTGAAAAGTGAAGGTTGTGTGGTTGAATTTTAGCAATTCAAAATTGAACCCGTTCCGGAAGATGAAATCGGCAATTTTTATAACGGAGACTCCTACATTGTTTGCAAGGCCACCCAGGCTCCTGGAGGTAACAAACTCCTCTACAACATCCATTTCTGGATTGGAAAGCATAGCACTTCTGTAATCATTGATTATTGCCAGATTTTAAATCTGCCCATTTCGCTGACATTTTTATCGATTTATAGGATGAATATGGAACTGCTGCCTACAAGACCGTCGAACTTGATACTTATCTTGATGATGCTGCTATTCAACACCGTGAGGTTGATGGTTTCGAATCGGATCTCTTCAAGTCTTACTTTGACAAATTTGTGTAAGTTAAGTGTGATCGTCCTTTCCTATGTCTTAAGACCACAGGTGGCGCAGTGATCAACATGCACATCTGCTAGGCCAGACGTCGCTTCCAAGATCCCTTTCCTCTAGTCATTTATTGGGAACACATGTAATGGACTTAGGAAGTTTACTCATTTTATTCAACATCGGCCAAACATCTCATAGGTATTAAGTAAAGATTTAGTTTGTTTGATTTCTGTCACGGAAAGCTGTATCTTGATCCACAAATGTAAAAATGGTATATGACGTAATTTGTGACTAATTAACGAGTCCGTTAATCGTACTAACACCATGCTGATATTCACTTATAATATTGTGTGTATTATGAAAATTTTCAAGGTCAGTATGTCTAATAATAGACTCCCCTGACATTAGCCTATAGTTGGTCATTACAACTACCGAATATTTCACGATGGGTTTCTGTTTCGTAATTTCTCTCATTGTCGATGCTCCCGTCACTCCTATGCCACTGACTCGCAAATTCCATAAAGCCCATTATTTAGGATTGAGAGGTGTATTCAGGGAGAATCGGCATATGAGCCTATTTCTTGGAATCAATCGGACAACTAAGGTTCCCCTTACTCTGACTCAGACTTAATGTATTATAGAATTATTGTTCTTTGAATTTCAGCACCTTGAAGGGTGGCTATGCATCTGGTTTCCGTCAGGTTAAGCCTGAGGAATACAAGCCTCGTCTTCTGCACTTCTGCAAGGAGGGCAAGATTACCTACATGCGACAGGTCAAGTATAGCAAACAGTCCGTCCACTCTGGTGACGTCTTCATTCTCGACTTGGGTGATCGCGCTTATCAATTCAATGGAGCTACCTCCTCTCCTTTTGAGAGGAGTGCTGTGAGTAGAGCACATTTTGGTGCAGTTTGATTGATCTGGTGGTTTGTTATCTTTATTTTCCACTTAGGCTGCCGCTTTCCTGCAAGACTTGGAATGCAAACGCAACGGTCGCTGTGTCACTCACGTTTTGGAGGATGAGACCACACCTAAAGACGTAAGTTTCAATAATTTATTTTTATTCTTGCTCTAAAAATAGCATGGGCTTCAAACTGTGAATTCTCAAGAATCACTCCTGAACAATAGTGGCTTTATCAGTTAACGAATTTATACTTATGGGGGCGATCTCAGTTGAGTGTGTAAATTCAATTCAAATAATACTAGTTCGTTCTTCTACTTTCTATTAAATTCCTTCCTTCTACTTACTGATTCGGTCTTTAATTAATGAATCACCTGGTCCTAATATTTGGGGAAAATACAATGTACACATGTCGATGACCTATTCCCTTCCAGACCGTGTACCCATACTAATGTTATTGATGCGAAATCTGATCAATAGTCTTAAGAAATTCTTTTATGATGTATGCCCATTGATCTGTTGATATCGCCAAGAGTGTAGAGGGTAACAGCCTATTTCTCTTCTTCCTAGTCCACATTTCCAGTCGAACTGTTTTCCGTTTTCAGCATGAATTCTGGACCAGCCTTCCAGACGTTCCAGTTCCCGAGAAAGAACCACCAAAGGAAGTTGTCAAGTCTCTGTACAAGGTTTCTGATGCTACTGGAAAGATGGAGTTGACCGTCATTAGTGAAGGCTCTGCTCCAAGAAAGGAAATCAAATCAGATGATGTCTACATGATTCTTGCCAAGCAAGGCCTATTCGTCTACATTGGCAAGGATTGTTCAGTCAACGAGAAGAGGAATGCTCTTTCCCACGCTCACGTAAGTTTTCTGAAGGATTTAGAGTTTATTACCCAACTAACGTAACATGCATATCTGATTAATTTACGCTTACTTGTAGAAATTCATGCAAACCTCTCCAAATCCCTACCTGCCAATCACTGTTGTCACTGACGAACAGGCAAAATCATTCCTTAAGGACATTTGGGATGAGTAAACACAATCTATCAATCATTTTTGACCACTTATATTCGGAAATCTTATGTTGCTTTGCTTAATCTGCCATATCAAGTGCCTTTTAGATTTGCTTTGTTTTTAATCTTCGTGTTCCTCTCTTATCGGCCATAAATTAAATTATATTAATGTTCCAATAAGTCGAAAATTCTCTGTTCGTTTTTATGGGTGGGATTCAATTGTGATTTGAAATCAGAATTTTGGTCGCTGAGGTTTTATTGAATTTAGTCACAGCACAAGCTACGTTAATGTTAACTCATGTTAACTGTTTGGTTGGCAAAAATAAATTTGATCAATTCTAGCTAATTATAGATAGAGCTCATTTCGGTATTCGCTTACACATGTAAGGTATGGTTCAGGAGTTCACATTCATGACAATGTCTTCTCTCCATTTCATTGAACTGCCTTAGAATAATTCTACAAAGTACACAGCTAGTAGTGCTAAAGTAATGGGAAGAGTGACTTCGTGACGGATTTACTCTCTCCTTGTCTTATGTTCGATGGGTCGCTAAATTTGAATTTTCACGTTGGAAGAGTGTTCGGGAGTCACAACAGTTATCAAATAGCCTATCTAGCAGGAATTGATAGTGTTATCGCATCGTGTTTTATGTTTTGCTGTGACTGTCGAAGTGGAATTCTAGCCTCAGCTACCCCTTCCAACCCAGGAAAACGATACTCAGTTAATTGATAATAGAAGCATTGGTTTCTATTTATAAAAAGTGGGGTTTATGGACGTAACAAGAGGATTGATACGAATGGCTGAGAACATGCTAGTTTACCCCTATGACTATTTAGACTTTTAGACTATTTAGACCCTGAGTGAGCTAAAGAAATGGATGAGAAACAAATTTGTGAATACTTTGAAATGAAATGAAGGGTTTGGACCACTTGGATCTATCACTACATGAGTTTCAAAACCGCCATCTCGATGAACTTACTTTTAGAGTTGTTTATTTCTTCTATGAACCTTGAAAAGCTGGTGAGCCAGTTGTAGACGAGAGGAAAGCATCGGCCTAGCCCGAAAATGTCATGTTCTTTCTGAGATTTTATACTTGGCTCCGAGCACTAAGTCTAGTAGCATACATTCTGACCAATAAAAATCTACTGCATATCATATTTCGTTTACGTAACAGAAACCACGACTGCTCAAGTGAATGGAAATGAAAAGTGAATAAGTTATATGAAGACCGAAACTGTTAACTTGAAAGAAAATTTAAAGAAATTTGAAAAATTTAGGCTATTTATTCAAGAAACGAACGGGTTGTGACAGACGTAGCTTTGTACTTGAGACTCCCATGGTATGTGAGCTCGGTAATGCGTCATTCAAGTAAAGCTATCTATAAAGGCATCTGAAAATGAGCGAATTTTGTTCTTTATAATGACGTCAGTACACTTAGAAATCCCATAAAACATCCTGGAATTTGAATATTGAAACTGTTTAACTGTACCTGAAGCGTATGAACTAAAAAGTGCCACAACCTGACTCTTTCGAAACATTAACTTTATATTTTCGTCTAAACGATAGAATATTGTATTTCTTTGCAGTTTTCCATGCACAGATGCTATCTTAAGAAGAGACAAATTTCAAGTTATTTTCCTTTTGAAGGATTGAAAAATACAACTTTTGAAAATAAAAATCGGATGACCACTTCTGTGCTTCCAACATTTTTATCGAGATTATCAATAACTGGGAGGAACTAAATTTCTCCACCTCATGTGGTGCTTGAAGTGCTTGGCCCTGCTGCTACCACATGACTGTTGCTGGTGTCATCGTGATACTTGAACTGCTTTATTCTGTGGAAATCTCAATTTTCTCCTCTCAGAAATATTTTCTTTAGATTTACGGAATAAGCCACTAATGTGGTCCATGGGTGATCATTGCTGACATTCAATCCCCCCCCCCAATCAACGATGTGTTTATGCTACGCAATCTTTATGACACTATATAAAGCGTTTTAAATTCCCTCTGGGCATTTATCTACTGCTTTTCCTGTTTCAGCCTCTCATACATCTGCCCGCTCTTAAGTTTTCAATCTCTGTCATAGGATAGACTTTGGTCATCACCTAACTCCTAACCTTGAGCTTGACTTGGGAACCGAGGACGCAAATGTTAGCTGTTGACTTTTAATCTTAACTCGTAGTTTTATAACTACGGTTACTGCTACACCAGCGGTGTTGATTTAATGTTAATATATGATGTAACCATTTTATGGCTGACTAAAAAGTAAGAGCAATTAAGTAAGCATAATAAGTCAAACTATTGTTAAAAACTGTGAAACTAATTCGTAGCTTTTCACTTAAATACGATAACTACAATCTGGACCAATAGGATTGACGCCCTTGTCATCGCACCAATAAAGCTCCACGAGAAGGTCTTTTCTTTGTTGCAATCCTCACTTACGCTATCTCTATGCTCTCCATTGAGCAAACTGGGTTTCACCCACCGCGCTTGTGACTGGTCCTAGTAGCCTTGAGCACTTATTGGCTTCTTTTAAGTTTGCACGCACTCAAATGCCTTATTGATTAAGTATTTAAGGGTATGTAGCGTAAATAGAATTTGTTTGAGATATCTATAACTCACAAAGAGATGGCTGGTTTAGTTAAAGGCAAGGACTATGACTGGAAGGACTCGAACGTGGCACTTTTTGGATCAGACACTGACAGACAAGTGAAAAGTGGGCTTTATATTTCCATTAACCTAACTTACTGCTTATAGAGGAATCCGCAGAGACTGAAAAAGCCTGGAAACCTGTTCGTGACACATGCTCTCCCTTCCTTATGGCATGGCGTATAAAAGTAAGTTCGAGAGCTGAGTTATCGAATTGATTACGTTCAAGTGTGTTAAACCGTTACGAGTTCTTGTATTAGATTATTCTTGTCTCTGTAAACCCGTTGTCGTAAAATTTTTTCTTCACAAAGTTGTGATTTAAGAAATAAGTGTTTAATTATCATATTTAACGGTCGTGTTATCAATTGTTAAACAAAATCCAAATTTATTCCTTGTTCTTGGACGGCTATTAGTAAATTAGCAGTTCTGAGACTAAATATTTTATTTTACGCGAAGATGAAATAAAAATAGTTATTTTAATTAATTGCCTATTGTAATTGAAATTTAATCTCACTTGAGTAAAATCAATGTTACATCTTTACGTTTTTCATCGTTTCAGCAATTCAAACTCGAGCCCGTTCCTGACAATGAGCTTGGTACCTTCTATGATGGTGATTCTTACATCGTCTGCAAAGCAACAAAGAGCCCTAATTGTGATAAATTGAGTTATGACATTCATTTCTGGATTGGCAAGCACAGCACTGCCGTAAGCAACTTTCTTTCAAAGCTGGTGTTATTTGCAGTGAAAATAATTATTTTTAATCTCTAGGATGAATATGGAACCGCAGCTTATAAGACTGTGGAGTTAGACACATTTCTTGACGATGCTGCAACACAACATCGAGAAGTGGATGGACACGAATCCCCCAAATTCATCAGCTACTTCAAGAAGTTTATGTAAGTTTTCATGTTTTTTGATTAAGGAAAAATAAACTTGTCTACTTTAGGACACTTCATGGTGGCTATGATTCAGGTTTCCGTCAAGTGAAACCCGAAGAATATAAACCCCGCTTGTTACACTTCTGTCGTCAGAACAAAGTTACGTATCTACGAGAAGTCTTCTTTAGTAAACAATCCGTGAAGTCGGAAGATGTCTACATTCTCGATTTGGGTACAAAAGCTATTCAGTTCAATGGATCCGCCTCGTCGGGTTTTGAAAAAAATGCCGTATGGAATATTTCTGAATTTCGGTCATTAATTTGGGCACTTCTCAGTCATAATATATTCTCTCTATAGGCTGGTGCTTACCTCCAATATCTTGAAAGCCAAAGAAATGGCCGTTGCAAAACTTCCGTTATGGATGAAGAAAACGGCAGAGATGTAGGCATTGCCTTTTATTCCTTGCTGTTCCCATGCTCATGTCTAACCTATTCGCATCTTCTAGCATGATTTCTGGTCTAATCTACCGGATGACCCACTTCCCGAAAAAGAACCTAGAAAGGAGATTGTGAAGGCACTCTATAGAGTTTCTGATGAAACTGGCAAGATGGAAGTCACACTCGTTGCCGAGGGTAAAGCTCCAAAGAATGATATTACGTCTAACGATGTTTACATGATTCTTGCTAAAGAGGGTCTCTTTGTCTATATCGGAAAGGATTGCTCTGTTACTGAAAAGCGAAATGCTATGTCAAACGCACACGTAAGTGTCTATTGGTGGTGTGATAAATTCCGCAATCCCCTCCCCCACCCACCAAATCCCTGAGCGTAGGCTATGTTCTATTAAACTTTCTTCTTATTTATTCTTGTAGGCATTTATGCAAACCTGTCCTGATCCCTATCTTCCAATTACTGTCGTGTGTGAGGAGAATGCAGAATCATTGCTTAAAGGAATTTGGGACTAGTAAAAATGCGGAATCTCCTCCCCCCGGAAAATGCCTCTGTTGAAGAGTTTCTTCTTGTTTTAATTTACTAAATAAAGATTCTCAGGACGCGTGTCTTTTTTCTAAACTTAGTCTCCGTGAGTAGTCATCGTTTACGATACTATAATTAATAGTATGAATGCAATGCTTACCTTTCTTTTTATTGAAATTTAACCTATATTTTTTATCTAAAGGGTTTCTAAGATTTTCAAGCTTATGGTTAAATGAGTGCAGTGCTAGAATAGATGTCGGTATTTCCTTTTTTATCACTTTCCTATCACCTTAACCATTCGTCATGTATCCCGAAATACAACTACTCGAACTTACCGAAAGTATTATTAATCGCCGTGAGGTAGCGAAAATATACCAAGGTTTCTTTACCTTTAACACATCCAAAGTTGATATGAATGGTCTAGGTGAAGAAGATGATGGGTTAATTTTAAAATCAGTGAAATCAACCAGACAAAAATGTGCAATTCTCTTGAACCAAAAATCGCTAAATTAGGTTGACCACAATGAAGTCTATTCTTAGTGCCAATAGACGGGAGAAAATTTTATGCATGCGAAGTAGAAAGGAGTGACAATGTTTTGATTTCTTTCTGATTTTGCGTTGTAGGGGTGATTCCAACCCTATTTACACATTCCTCGTATCCTTCATTCTCTTTATATTTATCCACATAAGCATTCGTGCTCATCCCAATTGACTTCTGGAGGGAATTTAGTATTTTTTAAAATGGCGTTTCCAGTATAACCACTGATTTACACCCTCTTATCCAACCGAATTGCCCTTAAAGATGTAATTTACTGATTCACTTATCAATCAACCCCTTAGTGGTAGATCTAAGAGACTAACTAATTAAGAACGTTTGTGCTAACTATATCAAACCACTTTGAATTTTGAGTTAATTAAGATAAATGTGAATTGTTGTGAAGGTTTATGAAAGTGAGATGAGATGTTCACCTTTCTAGTTGCAACAGGCAGCTGCAACTTGCTCTTGACTGTGACAACAATTACTGGACTGTTGGTCTCGCATGGTAGACTAAGTATTAGTAAGGAGGTACGAAAGAAGTGCCAGTAAGGTGAGTTTCCTGCAGCATGGATAGAGAACACTTTAAACTACGTTGTGTCGATATTCCTGGTGCCCACTTAACAAGTTCTTTCTAGGAAATTTAGCTGATCAGGAAAAGTATTTTATCATTAAAATCCTAAAGAAATGAGAATTTGGAGTAGAAGAATGTAATGGAGTATTGCTGACACCCGTCCACTTACACTTATAATAAATTTTTCGGAACCATTTGCTCTTCTAATTCGGAAGCTTTGTATAAGCTTAGCCAATTTGCGGGATGCCATGACATGCATTTAAATCTGAGGACTTATTCCACCTTAATTTGATTACTCATTCAATTGTGTCAGTAAGCTTGTTGGAAGTCAAATCATTCAACCAACATTCCAAGGGGCGCAGAAAGAACAACTACGTACTTATTATTAATAAAATGAATAAAGATTAAGCAGATCAAATTATTTCTCCTCAAATTCTGGTACTTAATGCCATTATTAAGTAAAATAACATGTTAATTTTTTAAGGCTTAAATTTGTTTGCTTTTAAGATTACTTCTTCTGAAAACTAACGCATTGCTTCAAAAACATGTTATTCCACCTGTTATTCTGCACTTATGTAGGCCACTTGCTGCCGTTTATTTACACGGTGTGCCTTTAACGGAATAGGAATTTGCTTTATCCTCCGTTCATCCATGGGAGAGGTAGAAAAAAATTAATCGTTTGTTTGTTTTAGCTTTACATTTTTCCTCATTTTTTTTTTATTTGAAATGTGCGCACTGCACTTAAATGAAAAGAGAGCAGACATTTACGATTTCATGCCAATGCCAATGAAGATGTGTGAAGCCCACCAGTTTAAGTTTAAGTTGCAAATGTACACTGGTAGACACATCTTTAATTGTGAGTTGCGCGTTGAATCATAGTTAATCTGAGTTCTGAAAACGAAAAATGGCTCTCATATCCGGTCTTCCAAATAACCCACCGAGTACTTCGGATCTGCAAAGATTGGAATGATGCAAGCACTTGAAGTTCATTGACATGGATTACAGTCCACTAGGTCGGGATAAATTCTACTAAAGGGAGTTTCGTGTGATAAATGTCTATTCAAGGCGTCAAAGACTAACCCTATATGGTGTTTCTCTCCTATCGACGCAATAACTGCTAAGCCTAACGACCACGCTGTTTCCATTACCCCACTTCCAGAAGCTGGATTTGCTTAGTCAGGATCAAAGACCTGTCGGTTCACTTAATATCTGGCTGATTTTACGGATTTTCATGGTTAAAGGCCCTATTTGACTTGTGCTGCCATACGTAGTAGAACACACTAAAATTTCTGCTAATGTCATTTTTTGATGAGTAACTTTCAAACAGAATTAATGGTTGCTAATATCACAATTCATTGATGTCTTAAGTTTGAAATAGACCTATTCACTTCTACATCATTTCAGTCTTGAAATCTTCAAATCTCCTCCAATATTTATTCAAGCACGTTTTACTCGAACGAACCAAAACATCGATAAGCTTGTTACAGCACTGTTTCCAATGGTATAGTATTTTAAGCGCGGAATCTTGCGACCCAGTTTGAATAAAATCCATAAAATATACCATCTGAGGCTGTACGCAACTCTGTACTGCATACTGCACAAATAAGTCTTGGTTAATTGTCAATGGTCCTCTGAGGCATAATCCCCTACCATATAATAACTCGTCAAAATAGCTCAACTACCTTACCAACATGGAAGAAACAGAGCATATTGAGTGGAATGGCGTTCATAGCAGCTTGTGGGGAATTAAAAAAAGAAGCTTAGTCACTAAACTACCAATAGGGCTACGCTATGTTGTGACGAATACTGATGGCTAGTTGACTAAGAGGTTTTCGTTTCACGGCCGCACCTTCAAGATTGTTCGGGTGCGCATGAGATTTCTTTGTTTAGCCTTGGTAGCGTTGTGCACTACATAAGTCCATTACAAGGACACAGTTAACCTGTGGGAACATATTTGATACAACATATGCTATTTAACTCAAACAAAAGACTTCCCATACGGTTGTCGAGACTTACTTGTTCTTAAAAAATAATTCTAAACTATTGTCTTATCCATTGAGAGAATTTTCGAATAACATCTTTAATCATATGAACCCACTAAAGATATAGTATGGCCTGTTATCAGAAATTGCGATGTTTTAACTTTCGCCATACTTTCATCCAGTTGAATCCTTTGGATGGCGAACTGTCGAACTCCTAAGATCGAATGAATATACCACGTAAATGTACACTTACTTGGCCTCAAGGGGGTCAGTACGTCCAGGTCACCAGGGGTATATTATGGGATGGTAGATAAGTATCCCCAAGTTTCGGCATCCATCATTAGTTGGTCACGGGTTCAATGCACATCGGTGCATATCTGGTGATTGGAATGGCCAACCACAAGGGTACAGTATGATTTATAAGGGGGAGGGGGAGGGTGGAGGGGGGAGAGGGGGGTGTGGCAGAATTCGGGTCTCTAACTTGGAAGATTCCTCTCTGTGTTGGAAAACCCAACTTTGAATGATCTCGGAAGGTTGCAGATTTCATACATCTATCGAATAATAACAATATATAATTTACAATTAATAGAATCGAAATGATAACTGATTATCTACTCCGTACATTGTTTTGTTGATACTACATTCTTAGACTGTTGGTACCCAAATACATTTATTTATAATTATTTATTTATTTATATCAAATGGCAGGCGTTTTAATAGTTATCATTAGCCCTGGAGCTTACTTCGGGGCTTCATGAAGAGGAGAAAGGACATCAAAGTGACAAAAAGTCGAGATGGGAAACAGAATAATGATTCACAGAGGTAAAAGAGACAGACAGACAGACACAAAGGCATAAAAAAAGTAAGATGAGTACTGTGGAAGGGGTCGAATATGAAAAATAGTCGGGTCATAGAAATTTGAAGTCAGAAGTCAACTGCCAATCAATAGACTTTTTTGCCGTATGAGTATACGTTGACCAGGGTGCACCAGGTGGAGGTAAGTCTATCGTGCACCCCGGTTCCCAAATATTGGAACTGAAGATATGCATTTGGGTGGATGAAGTTATTACTCAATGACCTTCAAAAAAGGGCAAAAAATAATAATCTTTCGCAAATACATAAGCGAAGACCTAAATTATCTGAGTTGTAAATCCTTTTCAACCTTCAAAGAGCCAATCAAATTATGATGATTTATTTCATCAATAGCATAAAGTTCTTACCTTCTATGATATTACTATTCTTTTAAGACCTTCTCACTGCGTTTGAAAACGTTTTCATCTCACATGATCATTGCAATATGAGCCAAAGTTCACTCTTAGTATTTCATGCTTATTGAACAGAATATAATAATAAATTGTCAACTTAATACTGCCAAATTTGGTAAGAAAATTTAGTGCTCAATTTTCTATTTTAGAGTTCACAAGAGTTGAAACCGCGCACCAGGTTAACGACACAGTCTGAGAGAGTTTTTCAAAGTCAGTTGCTTTATAGTTGTTTTGAGGGGAGCTATATTTCTTCGAGAACAATCAATACTTGTTAGATAAAAGCAAGAAAGTAACTAGACTAAATTACAGGAAATCATAAAATTATGTAGTAATTTTACTTTTATTCCTCCAACTTATATTTACTTTTTGTAGATTTAACGACATTTTATTTGATCTACTTTAATGGTGCCTGTATTTTCATTTCTAATAGAATTTGATGCCACGTTTTATGTCATGTGCACCTATGCAAAGTGCTAAGGAATCACATCAAAATCGATTTTGTTCTAACCAGAAACAATGCCAAATTATTTGTATATTTATGCATGTAGAGTGTGGAGCATAAAACGTTTTCACGGTGGCATGATCATGGAGATCACCCAGTCAGCATCGCTTGTTTGGGCAAACCCTCCATATTAATAGTTATTTATATCAAATGGCAGGCGTTTTGATGGTTATCATTAGCCTTTTAGTTGACTTTGGGCTTTACAGAAAGGAGGGGGAACATCAAAGTGACAAAAAGTCGAGAGGAGGGAACAGAGGAGTGTTTCAAAGATGTAAAATAGACAGACACAAAGGTAGAAAAGATGTGAAGTGAGTACTGTGAAAGTGGTCAAAAATGACACAGTCGGGTCATGGTAGTTTGAAGTGAGAAGTCAACTGCCTGTTTATAAACTTTTTTGCCGTATGAGTATACGTTGCCCAGGATGCACCAAGTGGAGGTAAGTCTATCGCACACCCCGCCATATTAATATAATGACTAAGCTTCTTGTCCGTACACACACCACACATAAAAATCCCGAATAAACGTGTTCCGCGTGATACATTTCTTTCCTCTATAGCTTTGCGTTAGCTTAGCTAGTTCTGGGAGTCTTTCCAAACATTGGAGAAACTGCCGTAGAGATTTCTGAATATGGTTATGGCTTATTAGTGTAGCGGTCCGCTACAAGACGAAAGATACAGCTAAATTGTATAATTGAGCATTCAGTTTTAGTGTACTTGGTTAGTCAGTGGTCGATACAAGTATTCTATCCAAGCAGAAATTACGTTACCTTAAAATAAGAAAAATTGTCAACTCCTCTTCAATCGAAATAAAAACTGATCTTGAATAACGTTGTTTCATTTAAGTGAATCACCTTTTCAATTATTGGTTCAAGTAGGAATCCTTTTAAGATAGTTATAGTGAAAAATTGCCCTTGAAATCATACATCTAATCTATTTCAACATTTGATGATAGTTAAGAAAATGGCAGTTCGTAGATTAATATAAAAAAAGCTCTTTGAAAAAATGTGTAATTCCTACACATCCTGACTCAAGGGATTGTACAATCTACCTCCCAATTCCTTTCTACCTCCATCCTCTTCTCCCACCTCATTCTATTACAATTGTGGAAACTCAACTCATGGTCATATTATTGATTAAGCGCTATTGATTCCTATTGATCTCTCAGATCATTGGTGCGTTAAAAGCCGCCAAGAGAAAGCTGGTTAGGCTCCTAAATATTAGATCTAATCTCTTTTTCATTGCAAAAAAACAACTACGTATGAGAAGTAGTTGCAAACCCTTCAACACTCAATTAAAATATTGAGTGAAACAATCTTGTATAGGTAAATAATTATAATTTCTGTAAACTAGATCAAAGTGTGAGAGATTAAATATGATCTAATCACACAAAATAGGCCTTTTGCATGGGGGTTGGATGCCACAACTTTATTAAAAAAAACAAGTGAATTTCTCTGTAGTCTCTGAGAGAATAATTAAAATTTAAAGGTTTAGTTCTATAAAGAAGAGGGATCCGATGGTAATATTGATTCCCACTATACTATGTAAACCCAAATTTGAAGTAAAAGTAAAGACTGCTGTTAAGTGAATCACTACCAGTCAAAACCGGCACAACAGACCATTTAGCTCAATGGATGTGTACAGACTGACATAACATCCATCACATTATCTCTTGTATATTGATTACCTGATTGAATTTTATCCAATTATCTCTACATTATTATGGATTTATGAGGAATTGGAACTAAGAGAGGAATACCGGCACAATGTGGCTAAATACAAAGATTCTCACCAGGAAACTCGCCTTAATGGCACTCCTTTCGTACCTCCTTACTAATACTTAGTCTACCATGCGAGATCAACAGTCCAGTAATTGTTGTCACAGTCAAGAGCAAGTGAACATCTCATCTCACTTTCATAAACCTTCACAACAATTCACATTTATCTTAATTAACTCAAAATTCAAAGTGGTTTGATATAGTTAGCACAAACGTTCTTAATTAGTTAGTCTCTTAGATCTACCACTAAGGGGTTGATTGATAAGTGAATCAGTAAATTACATCTTTAAGGGCAATTCGGTTGGATAAGAGGGTGTAAATCAGTGGTTATACTGGAAACGCCATTTTAAAAAATACTAAATTCCCTCCAGAAGTCAATTGGGATGAGCACGAATGCTTATGTGGATAAATATAAAGAGAATGAAGGATACGAGGAATGTGTAAATAGGGTTGGAATCACCCCTACAACGCAGAATCAGAAAGAAATCAAAACATCTTCAAAGAATTAATATATTTTAACCTAACTTGTTTCCTTTTTAGTTTAACTTCTGCATATTTAAATTTGACAATTTAAGATATTGTCAGTGGGGTACTGGATAGGCATATATTGCACAAATTAAATGAGTACACATAAGTGAAATAATGTTTAGATGATGATTTACTTATTATTTCAATCTCCCTGGAGTGTGCGATAGACTTATCTCCACGTGGTGCACCCTCAACAACGTATACTCATATGGCAAAAAGTCTATCAGTCGATTGTTGACTTCTGACTTTAAATTATCATCACCCCGCTATATGTCATATTCGACTACTTACACATTTTTTCTACTTTTGTGTCTGTCTCTTTTGTATTTTTGAAACACTCTCCCCCCCCCGTCCTCTCGACTTTGTTCACTTTGATGTTTCTTCCCCTCTTGTAAAGCTTGAAGTCAACTAAAGAGCTAATGATAACTATCAAAACGCCTACCATTTGGTATAAATAACTAAACTTCAATTACCCTATGGCTGTATCTGTCTCTTCTCGTTCAACGTCGCGATTTAAGCGAAAAAGCACTTTGCTTTATAGTGCGTTGATAACAAACGCTATGACTTCTAACAACAGTTTCGCTTAATTGCTTCAGGTAATCAGTAGAATAACTTAGGCAAAAAGCGGCAAGCTATTGCGACCCCCCCAACTACCAGCTACATCTATGTGATGAGTCACCACTGGCCCGCATACGTTAAGTTTTTTGTACGAACCCCTCTCCCCCCCCCCCCCCCCCCCCCCCCCTCCCTCCCTCTCTCTTGGGAGTTATCGAAGGTAAATAGTTATTTGCTGCGAGGCAGTAAAGTTACTGAAGTTTATGGCTTATTTTATTTGAACGACTTATAGTTTACTTCTGCAATAAACCGTGCGAAACCCGCACCACCGTCTATTTATTATTATTCGCTTGATTAAGTAAGTCCTGTATTCAAGAATATTTTGAATCCCAATTCAAATTAACTTTCATTTAATTTTCTCAATTGTGACCCAAAGTCATAGTATAAGCAGAAAGTAAAAATTTTTCCAAAAATTTTTTCCGAGAAGTAACTTCTTCTCTGGGTACCAAAATAGATCTTTTAAAGACACATTATGTAGATAAGGCAATCAATACTTTATGCCAAAATGCAGGATTTATGATTTTTTATCATCAGCCCTTTAGTTGACTTCAGGTTTCACAGAGGGGAGAAGCATCATAGTCACAAAAATTCGAGAGGAGAACAGAAAAGTGTATCACAAATGTAGAAGAGACAGACAGGCACAATGGTAGAGAAAGGGGTAAGGTGAGCACTGTGAGATATAACAACCATTCGGGTCATGGTAGTTTGAAGTCAGAAGTCAACTGCCGGTTAATAGACTTTTATGCTGTATGAGTATATGTTACCCAGGGTACATCGCGTGGAGGTAAGTCTAACCCTAGGAAATCAATTATAGATGGATATAAAGTCTATAAAGTTTAGGATGAAAATGGAGACTGCGAATGGTGTGAGCATGTAGTCATAACTTTGTGTCCATCTAACTCTATCAGTACCGATAGCAACTGATGTTTATATAGCCGTGATAAGAGTCCGATAGAATAAGGCTTGTCGTTGTAGCATTCATGTTCTGTTTAAGGATAATCAGTTCCCACAAGTTTTTCAAAGTCGTTTTTACTCCCCACCTTTTGAATGGGGATAAATGGGGATGTATATCACCTTGACAGTTATTTGAGACTTCGATGGCTGTCAATCAGACTGAATTTTGTTGTCCCATCACGAACAGCATGAAAGCAATTTATATTTCTAGTTTATACCTTTGGTTAGTAAAATGTCTTAGTTTCCTTTCTCTGATCTTAGCTCACTGTGAACGATAGATTTCTCGTAGTCAGATAAAAGTTCAGCTATTATTCTTTGAAAATAAATCTGCCGCTAGAGATGATTCAATTCACCGCATCTATGCCATCAAAGAAGGTGATGGTCTGCCACACAGCCACTTGATTCATTTAGTATTATTTATGTTTGGCGAATAAATGGCATAGAATTCAACAAAGAACCTAGATACCAATGCGCAAAGCCGTTGAACACATTTATTTATGAAAAAAACATTAGCCTATAGTTAAACAATTGATGAGCTCAGTGAGATTTGATTATTGGGCTAGGGCATCCAGTGTGAAGAATTGATGACTTTGGGTTGGCCACATTAAATGTGGGTATGTGTGGTGAGGGATTGGGGGGGGGGGGGGGGAGAAATTGGTATTGACCACGGTTTTACCGGGGTTTTCCGAGACTCTGTCCAAGGGTGCTTATTCAGATGGGTGGTTATTTGGTTCCAAAAATATTTTCACGAAATATGATTTTCGGATTTTCGGAAAACCCCGATAAATAGTGTTAAATACCATTTCAACTAACTCAATTTCCACCTACATAATTTTAATATCACTACCCATTGAAATATAAATGACAGTCTATCGAAAGAAAACATTGGAACCTTTATTATCAAAATGGTAACAGAAATTAAACTGGGGCCGTTCATTATGCCTTAACAAGTGGCATTTACAGTATGCTCGTTGTCAGATGAATTAGGATAACATTTAAAATTGTGGATCCATGACTTCAGAATATAATAAACACGGTAAGAAGTGATTTAAATGTGTAACTTCAAATATCAAAAATTATGATAAGTGGCTATTTGATAAAAAACATAGAATAAGTAATTTTCATTATTTATGCAAATATAAAATCCGAGACATAAAAATACACATATTTTATTTGTTCAATATTGCATGAAAATCTTTGCCTTATATAAGGAGTTCAATTATTTTAAGCGACACTTTCGTCATAATGCCAATAATGTTGCCGCTGTTATTAAAACGTTTAAGTTTTAAAGGCCATCCGGGTTGCGCCGTCCGCGTGCTCTTGTTGCAAATCAATGGGTCGGTCTGATACTGAGCTAGTTTTAAATAAAAACATTTCTAAAAAGCTTTATAATTATTTTTCTTGTTTCGGGATTTGTGTATGAATGCCCTAGCCCACTCACAACTTTCAAGGGCTTATTTATTTGTGGCTATTTTATTCAAATGGTTAAGTTGTTAGAATAACGTGTTTTCTTTTGTATATACGCAGATTCACAATCTAGCCCCAAGCGACGGAAACTGGAAGATAAGAATGAATCTCCTAAACAAGTTGATGCCCATATCAAAACGTTTCTCGAATCAATTTTCAAGAACGCAGGCAAAAATGGCGCTTCTGAAAACGCAAGAGAAGCTTTGGCCTCGGCCGTTAGTAAAACGTTGGGCAAACGCCGGCGAAATGTCCCTCGTCGAGACGCATCAACTCAGACAGAAGAAGAAAGTGTGGAAGATCAATTTCCTGAACGTCCTCAGCAACCTCCCTCCCCTACGTCTTTATTGACTGTAAATGCCGCAGCTTATTATGCCTCAACTGCAAATAATATTGGTTATTTAGCTCCCTCAAATACCGATCTTCAGTATTATACTACCATCTCAACCAATCCGATTGCCGCCTCTCAACTACCCTCTACAGAATTACGTCAGCAACTTAGTATCTGGGATCAAAGCTACCAGCGATGGTTTAAAGAGAGTTTTGGCGTGGATATTGAATCTGTTCCTTTAGAAACCGCACGCCCACAAACAAATATTCAAGTAGATTCTGATGCTTCTAGGGCAGTCGCTTGTCAGACTCCTCTAGTTCCTAACAACCCGGTAATTTCTGCTCAACCTGTCATTTACGCTGCTCAGCCAGTAATCAATCCGATTTCAACTTTACTCAGTGCTCAAATGGCTGCTCAGAATCTACTTTACTTTTACGCCCAGCAGCAACTGAAACAACAGCAAGAGTTTATGGCTGCGGCTATGGTTTCTTCTTTAACTGCTATTCCGAGGCCCATAGTCTGTTTCCCTTCGACCAAATCTGTCCAGCCTCAGGTTAGTTCTCCAACTCCTTCCTCATCTAGTCAGGTACCGATTGATTCATCAGAATTAAGTGGCCATGTAACACAATACGGTGCCTATGGTGTTCTTCGTTCTTGTCCCCTTGATGTTATGGAAACACAAGAGGGTCCAGATAGTAAGGATGCTGATGGGGATGGAGAGCTTCCAGTTTATACAACTCCCGAGGACTATCGCTCCCGGCTTCAAACGTGGATGCCACCTCGTCCCCCACTTGGGCTTTTGCTGAGGAAACAAACCCTTATTTGCGTTGTTACGGTAATTTAATCACTCTTATCAAAGCACTCTTGCTACTCATGTCATTATCATCACTAGTACCTCTTAATTTTGCCTTCTTCATTTCATTCCTTTCATGCTCGACAGTGTATTTTCTGCTTTCCAGTGTATCAAATAGGTTTGTTGTTTTTTATGCCTCCATAACCTGAGTAGCAGAGCGACATCAAGTCTTTGCATCAAGTCTTTTTTCTTAAGATAAGTGTCTCTGTAAAGGTTTGGCTAAGCATGATATTATCGCAGTCCTTATCTTTCACATTCTTATACTTATTCAAAAGAGGAATATGTTACTTGTAACCCAAAAGAGTTCCGACCTTGTATCATTTAGTTATTTGGATGTGCTTAGGTCTTTTGTTTGGTTTGTAAATTTCACACATGTTTCTATTTCCATTCAGCCTTGCTTTTGCTTTTCAGGTGCCTATTCAAAGCAAAGTGTATGAAATTGAAGTACGGAAGAAAGCGCCCTCGAAAACTCCAGTGAATATTGATTATGTTTCCGCTCTGGAGACTATTGTTGAGAAGAATGCGAAAGTCAAAGTTACATATGTTTTTAACCGAATTAATCGACTCCCTGATGATGCTCAATCAGCCTTTCTTCACGGATTCCGGGTAAGCTCTAAAATTATCTTTTTTAATTAAAATTTACAATGGGCATTGGTGTTGTACATAATCTATTTACATGTTTGATTTTTTGATAGATACTATTGCTATATGGGATTGATGATTGATATAATAATGGCTTTTGGACCAATCCAAGAATAGTTCCAGTTCTTTTGTTGCTTCATAGTAAACCAAATATTTGTCGAATGAGTATTATCCAACGCTGTAGTTGGCAGTAGGAGGGGGATCTCTCATTTAATGCACTAAATGAATCTTATTAACTTATCACATCTGAAATTAATGCATAGTAGTAGTAATGAGTAAATTTTTCCAATTAACTCGTCGGAACTAAATGAGGTGTCGAATATGCGAATTAAATGCCAACATCTGAAGCCCATACAGCAGAAAAACAAGATGAATGTTATATCAAATACTTTGAGGGTTCATATATGATACAAAAACTAATGGGATTATGATAATGTATTAGTAACGTCGTAGTTATTACCAATAGGCAATCCACTCAGGGAGAAAATGACTAACTAATGAGTTGAATTACCAAGCGAATCGAAAACTAAATTGTGCAGCCTTCCTTATGACTTATCATATTTTTTTTAGGAAACTGACAATGATGAAATCGTAACTCTTGAAAACCTTCCTACTACGGATCCTATGCATAATTTGGAGGTCCCTTCAAATTCTAATGGAAATGTCGTTGCAATAGGACCAACTGCAGAGCCTACTTCTCAGGTCATCGATAATTCCCTGGATGTAGAAGAAGTTATTTTGGATGACAAATTGCACGTCGAAGTTAGTCCAGCTTGTGAGGCACACTCAAGAGATATGTATATATGTGATTTGCTCATCGGTGATGTTCTCATTTGCCAAGCCCTGGCTGACTGTAAAATGCAAGCAAAGATCTGCTCTTGTCGTAAGGTGATCCCAGACATTCATTGTGTTCTTCACTTTCATGCGTTTTAACTGTCGCTTACCCTGATGTTTATTCGCTCATTTTAGGCTCTTTACCTCCTATCAAAACCCACGTTTGTTGTTGGTGGGATTCGAACTTGGTATGGTAATGATGAGAGTCCAATCGATTATCTCACTTTTTGTCTCAGTCTCGAGGCAAAGAGAGTACCGCGATTGATGCCTTATCTGGCTGATCCCCTGGTTCCCATTCCCTCGGAGCAGCCAATTTGTCCAAAGGATCCTGCAGAGACCTTCAAGGTTTGTACTCCCAAACCCATTCACGATCTCTGGCTCTACACAGCTCGGCCGATTGCTGTAAATGTGGATGAACTGGTAAGTCGGTCTTACGACAAACATAATTGGACTACGAAGTGTTGAATGAATAATTAACAATTTGGAATTTTACCTGCTAAGAATTAATTATTATTTGTGCAATATCCATGATTGAAATTAAATGCGAAAGTTTTTATGTGCTGAGGATTAGTATGAACTACTACACACGTAATCGAGCAAACGTTAATATTACGAAATGGTATAATGAAATTTCACTTCAGATGACGCGTATTTGAATTGTCATTAGATCTTCATATTGATCTTATAAGTATTTTATGTAGTGAACATATGGTTATGGCCGTAATAAATCAAGTAACTACAAAATGGTGGATGATAGCTTATATTTTTAAAAACTTGATAGTTTCGCTGAGCTACCATTCTTTTAATTTATATCTTCACCGTGCAACAATTGAAGAAAAAAAATGGGATGACCGTGGGAATGTTGATAATGCACGTATATTTAGATTATGAGGCAAATGCATCTATTTTGCTTTGTCTGAGTCCGCAAGAGGACAACCACATTTTTGTGCTTGTGTATGTCTATTAGGCACACGGAACTGTATTTATTGTTTCAAATGCAGATATTCTGCTCTTGGTTATGAGTCAAAATTTTCACATCGGGTTTGTAAATTAATCTTGTGTGTTTGTTAAAAGTTTATGAGACAGTACCTTCTTGTCATTGTTTTATAGTTTTGTAGCTATTCGATCCATTTTAGCTAACGGAAATTTACCTTTCCTTTGAAATAGCTTGCACCAGAACAGTACCTAGCACAGTCAGCGGAATTCAGCCAAATGACCGTGAACTTTGAGGTGGAGTTTGATTCATCAACTGGCAAATTTACAGCCTTTGGGTTGGTGGATGGCCAAAGATGTGTCAGGGCTCCCGGAAATAGTGTACCTGTTGCTCGAGCGGCCGCTTCTTCTCGTCTTCTGCAGTATTTAAAGTTATCTCAACCCGTCGTTGGTCTGCTCTTGCCCCCTCCTGATCGTAAGCTTGACTTCTCGGAATTGTTAATCGGTGCTGTCTACTTTAAATCTATCAGTAGGATGAATTATTTTTATGTTCCTAGCTGATGACTTAGAAGACCTTGAGATGGCAAATGATGATTCCATGAATCCATTGTGGGGTCTTACGGAGGCCAGCATTGTCGACAGTCTCATGTGGGGCAAACACGAAAAGCAGTTCGCTCTTCCTATTGAACACCTTGAAGCTCATTGCGAAATTTTGTCATCCTCAAGTAAGTTTGTTTTGCAACTGGTTAAACATCATGTAATCATAAATCTATTTGTCTATTCAATTTCGACGGCTGTATCTCGATTTAAAATGACATTGACTGGACAGAATTCCTCTATTACCTGTCTACATAAAGTAACAGTGGGTTGGAATGGCATTCTAAGCATTAGACATAGGTTGGTTTAGATTTCGAGATTACTCTCATAAAAAGCTCAATCATTTCAAATTGTAAAGATTTCGTTTTCTGTTGTTTAGAGTGTAATTTGTTTAATTTATCTTTTCATTCATAGGTTCTGAAGAACTAGACAAGTCATTTAACTCAGGTGGCAGTAGTTTTTTTCTTTCTCGGAGACATTTGGATCAGTACTTAGAAGCCTACGCAGCGTCTGCCTTGGTAGCACCCCTTCGTATCTCTCTACAGGCCCTCCCCCACTCCCTCTGGCATTTGGCCCGTTCCATTGCTCACTCTTGGGGTCTTCTCACCCTCATTGAGTTCGAAATTCCTGACCATTTGAACACCGCCTTTCTCTTGGTCTGTAAACGTGCCCCTCTCCCCCGTCTTAAACGAACTCTCTTTGAGAAGACGGAGGCCGGCGTCTTTTATCTTCTCTCAAAAGGCAACCTTCCTCCTGAGGCTCTGAAAACAATCTCGTCAGCAGACCTTTTAGAGTCTCCCACCAATCCTGAATCCCAGACTGTTAATATTCTCCCCGAACCATCATCTCCACAATTCGAAGCAGAGGACGAACTTCCCTATGTGGATGAAAACGATCCTCTCACTAGAATGGCACGCACCTTCCACGCGACGTCCTCTATCGTCAAAACTGAGGCTATTAACGTACAGCCATCAGTTTCCGCGGATGATCCTGATGTTTTCCTCGTCTCTGCAGAGCTCAACCAACACTCCAATGCAGTGGAGATCCTTGATGATCTCCCCAAACAACTTATACCAGGAATTGATTTTTAGATTTTGTTTGAGAGGAAAACCCTGCCTACTCGTGTCTCCATTTTTACCGATTGTTTGTGTATGCCTGCTTGTGAGATTTAGCCTTTTTGTGTGTATTATTGTTCTGTATATTTTATTTCCCCCCTCGGTGCTGTTTACTGGCTGAGGATGGTGAATGCAAACTGTCTGACGCGAATATCAACGGGAAGTCGATTTGACAGAAAACTTATCGCTTTATCATCGGTTTTCTGTACTTGGTATTTGTTTAATAAATTATTAAACACCAAAACGTTTCTTTTCCAATTTCTGCACTTTTTGTGTTATCTTAATTCGTTGGTTGAGTGTAGACGATTTTTTAGTGAGAATATTTCGATTTTCGCCAATTATTATTAGCATTGCTAACTCTTTTTTACTAAAGCTAACAGCTAGAATCTTCTTCTCCATTCAAGTTCAATCTTTGGTGTTGAGTTATTTTTTCTAGCTGTGTTTAGTGAACGTATCTAGGGTATGAATGTTGCTAATCCTGTTGCCCCATTGTCTGATCACTTACCATTAATAAACGCATTGAATCGCGAGGGGAGTATATTAAATCCGATGAACGTTGTTCTTTTCAGTTAACTGATTTTGTCTTTTTGTCGAAATTTTTGGGTTGTTTTCTTGCTCTATCCTAACTTTTAACTCGGAATGGATGTTCTAAAATCTGTGTAACGAAAATTATGCCCGAGGATCATGTACATTGGTATCGTCGCGAACTCAAAATTCACGGTTTCAATGCCCGTATTGGTTAAGTATGAATAATAAAGGGGCGCTAGAATTCGAGTTTCTCACCTGGGAAACTCCATGGTTCTGCCTCTGCCCAAGATGAGCGTTGGAAAACGCTTCCACTAACCTCTGGGATGAAAGCCATGAGGAACGCTATGGTTATATAGGTAAGTGAAAGTAGGCCACTTGATGAGGAAAGGTCGTGTTGA